TGAACATGTACTTCTTTCAGGATGAGCCATGGTCTAATAGGGGTTATTTTGCCAAAAAATTCTGTGTGTTCCTTTGTTTCCAGATATAAGCCAGCAGGCCATGACAAAGATGCCCAAAAATCTATTTTGAAAAACCAGCACTACGATGGTGCAGCATGTCTCCGATACCGTTTCTCTGCTGGTCCGCCGTACTGAATGCCAAGCTGTTCCAACAGCTGACATCAAACGGGCATCTGAAGGACAGATGGATGCTGGTTTTCTACTGTTCGTTGCTGCAAAGTACACAAGAGTTATCACTGGAGACAGTGAAGTGCCGCCGTGCTATAATTTCTTCGGTGTTTAAACGATCAAACTAAATCAATGTCTAGAAACTCCAATACTCAATGCTGCGGAATTCTTATGTGCATAACTGTACTAAAGTGAAACATCACTAGTCTTTCTGCAGCTCTTGATTTTGCGACTAGGAAAGTGATACCCAGATGTTATTACTAACAATTTGACAAAATGCACCAAAGAGCAATGACAGCTTGAAACTTCTCACCGTATGACAAGTTGATAACACTTGTGCATAACATTGACAAATAAGTAAAGGAAATCATCACTGCTTCAGTTACCAAAAATAAAATAATGCGTGCTTTCAGGAAATAAAAAATATTAATCCTTGCCAACTCTTTGGATACAAGTACTAGTAATGAATCACACATAACAGGCATTACTACATAAATAGGGCCAAAACTAAATAATGGAAGTAAGAGATTATCTGAGGAATGGTAACACAAAACGCTCACCTGGGAAAGGATAAGAACTCTCTGCCCTTTTTTCCAGATTTCTTGGAGCATTTTGTCAAGAAGCAGTAGCTTGCCACTTGCACTCACTCCAATATCTAGGATATCAGTTACTGGGTGTCCCTTGGTAAGTAATAAATGCAACGTTTTATCTACTAGATAAGGGTGGTCGCAGCACTGTTGCATGATAAGATCATTAAAGACAGTTAGCTATGCACAATGAGGGCCATTGAAGATTCCATCTAACTCCCTACTATGAAAAAAGGTGTCATGCATGCTCAGAATTTTAACAGCTAACCTTCCGGAGGGATACAAGAATGTTGCGAAGAGCACCAACACTGTCAGTTTTTGAATGTGATCGAAGCGCAGGCGAGTTTGAAAGTAAGGTATAACAGTACATTTCTAGTTGCACTCGTGAAAGGCGAGCAGGAACCCAATACTCCACAAATTTTGATGAATCCGCTTTCTGGCCCATTGCAACATGAAGTGCGAACTCTGAACAGTCATCAGTTGGCTCTGTAGCATCCATTGCAGGACTGCTTGAGCACAGATCAACAGTCATATGTGCCTGTACAGGACTTGATAATGTAACCAAGTCCTTCCATGCAGATGGTAGGATGATAAGAGAAAGAAAAGCTACATTGCAAATAACAAGCCAACATACTGAAGCAACAACAATGTTACAAAAAAATCAAGCATATGCTTAATAGGAATTCAGGTAGCTAAAAGGGAACTATACAAAGTATCCCATCAGGTGAACAGTCTCCTGCATAAGTTGTACTTAAGTAAGAACCTATGTTTTTAAGGCGACGCCTTACCGCCTTAGGGAGGGGGGGCGCTTTGGCGCCTAGGCGACGCCTAGGCGGGCGCTTTGGACGCCTAGGCGCCCAAAGCGGTCGATTTTCCAAAGCGGAGGGGGAGCGCTTCGACGCCTAGGCGTCGCCTAGGCGTCGCCTTACGGACGCCTTTAAAACATAGGTAAGAACCTCAAGACTTTAAAAAGGACAGACCCAGTGCATAGAAGCTCCCACACAAGGTGGGGTCTGGGGAGGGATTATAGGAACCTAGTCTTACCCCTGCAAAGTGCAATGCAGAGAGGCTGGTTCGAACCCAGGACCTCTTGGCACAATAAAGAACCTCAAGACTTTATATGAGATAATTCAGGTGCAAATAAAGAATATTTTGATGTATTACTGAATATGTGTTCAGTTATTTACTTCTATTTTGCTACCCGAGACTTACGACCTATAAAGGATGAAGGAAAATAACAATGATATTTACAGTAATGCTTTGTAATAATTTAAGGTCAAGAGTTGTAATAATTTAAGCCCAAGAGGTGATATTGTGATCTAGGAGCAACGAAATAACATACTATTAATCTATTACCAGAATATGTTACTTAATTCTATTTTGCTACTCCAGGGTTAAGACCTACAAAGGATGAAGGCAGAGAGAACTGCTACTTACAGCAAGGCCTTGATTTCATAAAGAGTAGAATAAAGAAAACCGACAACTCAAAAGAATAGAAGATGGTTGAGCAAACCTCTGAAATGGGAGCAGATTTTTCAACATCATTTTTCAACCCATCTGTCTCCAATATCACCTTGGGAGCTTCACACTGGCCAGAAGTATAGCCTTCCCAAAATTTATTGACGACTTGACTTGAATATGCCTGTTTATCTTCTTCAGATTTTTCAACATCAGTTTTCAACCCATCTGTCTCCAATATCACCTTGGGAACTTCACACAGGCCAGAAGTATAGCCTTCCAAAAAATTATTGGCGACTTGACTTAAATGTGCCTGGTTATCTTCTTCATGTGCGCCACTTTCTTCATACCTCAAAACAGAGCCATTGTCTTCTGTGTGTACCTTGGAAGCATTTCCCTCATAGGCTTTGAAAGTAGCAGCAGGGAATACATCACCAAAGAAAAATAAAAGGGGAAGAAGGTATTAGGATAAAAAGAATTGATATGCCAAAATTTCGTTGATAACAAGCTATACAAGCCTATTAAAATGCTACATTAATTATTTCAACAAAAGTGCTTTGCACCGAACGCCTTGCATTGTTTTTAGAGCATTCAGCAAGCTAGTAACACTTCATCCTGACCAAATCAGTCACAAGAACACGTTAAGCTTTACGCCTTCAGCTATCTAAGATGAACTTACACAATATGCAGCAAAAAGCAAAGTCTTGGAGATGGCTATTTACAACAAACAGGCCAACCGTGATAATGAAACAGGCCAACTAAACTGTGACTGTCATCCCAGTTGATTGGAAAAGCAAATATGAGCTCAAAGTCACAGGGAAATCAAGTACCAGGAGATTTTTCATATTCTTCAGAAGATGTCTTGAAGATATTTGTATAGCTCTGTGCGGTTAGCCTTTTCTGCTTCTTCAATGGCATAGTACCACTCTCGGAAGCATCATTCTTTGTTGAGTCATGTTCATCAATTTCTCTTTTTACGGCTTTGTCGGGAGTAGCCACTGGACTAGAAACTCCAGTTGCATCATTTGAAGCAGTAGAAGCTGAAACAGTACTTTTCTTTACTCTGTCGGACGTTCTTGGGGTACTAGCCTTCCTCATCGACCCTTTTAGCTTCCTTGCTGACGATTTAGGGGTACCAGGTGTGCTGGGGTTGCTTCTGCCCCTAATAGATTTCTGCGGAACCGGTGTAGAGGCAGAACTGGTGGTCAAAATGGGATTCTTTCCTTTTGTTTCTCGGTTCGACCTCCTGAGGTTTGGCTTCTGCTCATCGCTTGTTTCACGTGTGGACAAGCTTCTAGACTCCCTTCCACTGGCGGATGAGGTGGAGGTCGTTGCAGACTTGGGGTCTTTTGCACTGGTGGCGGCGCTGCCTTTCCTTGCACTGGTGCCCCCTGCCCCCTCATTGTTCGCCCCTCCTGACCGGGTATTGGCCATCTGCTTCCGAAGAATCAACGCACTAGGCAGGGCACCTAGAATAACGCAATCAGAAGCAGAGGGGGTCAGCTATTTGGTCGAGGAGCATGGTATTAAACAGAGAAATTGTTTAATTTCGCGATGCGTAAGCAGTGCGACTTGGGTTGTTTTTGGTTAGGCTGTGGATTTTCTCAAAGCAGCTGTGGGAGATGTGCTGTGGAAAAGCTGTGCAGGCTGTGTGCTGTGAGAAAGCTGTAAAGCCATTTGACAAACTAGCTGTCTGCAATGTGGCTGTGGGGTAAATGCCTGAAATACCCGTAAAAGCTGAAACATTGGTTGCATGGTAGTACTACATAATTAGAGGTTGACTTAGTTTATAAATATAGCTATTAGACAAATTACCTAGTTAATTATTCAATGGAATTTTCGAGTCAATGCATATGAACGAGAATGAAAATTTTCCTATAAGTTTTGGATCATGGAATAGCTAATGAGAACACTAATACAAACATAATTGACTAATTATCTGGCTATGTTGATCATTATGGAATTTCAGCATGTCAAAGGAGTATTCTCATGGATCAATGCATCGGTTCGTTGAGCACACAGATGCAAATAGCAAACAACTCATCACAAAATTCTCTAGCAAGAAACCCAAATATTTTGCAGGACCTAGCATTGACCAGCAACTAGACTACATGTCAATACCACAAGCCTTGACAACAACCAGAGGTGCACGGGGCCATCAAATAGCTAAGAAGCAAATCTAGCACTACCCAGGCCACGAAAACGGTTGTTGTGGTGCCCCCATTGACCATTGTACACCAGCAGCAACCCAGCACAGCAAGTACCCATGGTACAGGGGCATGTACAGCAAAAAAGTTGATTTTTTTTTACCTCACAGTCGAACTGCGACGGAGCCGTCCGTCGTGGTCGAGCCGGTGGGCACAGGGAGGCCGTGCGAACGAAGAGAGACGGCGAAGGCGGTGCCGGGGTAGAGCTCCTGCGGCGGCCCGTCGTCTTGGTCGAGCTCCTGCGGCGGCCGGTCACTGTGGCCGAGGTGGACGGGGGCGGCCGCGGAGCGGAGGAGAGGAGGCCGGAGCGAATGGAGGTGGATGAGGGGGTGGAGGCGGCCGACGGCGGTCTTGCGGCTGCCCGCCGGCGGCGAGGTGGGGGCGCGCCGGTGGGCAGCTGCTGGACGGCGGACGAGAACCCTAGAAATGGGGACTGCGTCTGCGTTGACTCTTGCGTGGACGCTGGACGGGGACGGGGACTGCCGGACTGGGCACCGATTAGGATTTTCACAGTGGCAAACATGGGTAATTTCACCATAACTCTGGGGCCAAAGACGGGTGGCCAAATCGAGAAGCATTAGGGCTCCTTTGATTCAAAGAAATTTTATAGGATTTCTGGAGGATTAAAATCTTTAGGATTTTTTCCTATGTTGGTCCTTTGATTCATAGGATTGAATCCCATGGGATTTTTTTCTATGAAATCTTTTGTACTACATTTTATAGGAAATCTAACATCCAGTCCAACCTCTTTTTACAATTTCTCTATTTTTCCATGCCATCAAACACTCATTGCTAATTCTATAAAATTCAAATGAGCATGCCACTCCAACCCTATACTTTTCATATCTTTAAGTTTTTAAAATCCTATGAATCAAAAAGGCCCTTAACGTGTGCAGATGGGGCGGTCGATGGCTAGAGACAAAAAGAGATCGCTGGGAGAAAAGAAAACGCGTCGTGAGCGGAGACAAAAGAGAGGGACAGAGTGCTCTCTTTTTCCTCCTCTCGCATCTCCTTGTTTCCACCCCGACTGGCGGCTAGGGTTTCCGTCGGCGCCGCCACAGCCGCCGCTACCATCCTTGCTCCGCCATCTATGGCCACCAGAGAAGGCGCCCTTCTGAGACCCGCTCTTGTTCAAACCTTCTCGTCTTGGCGTCAAGGCGTGCTATTCTGCCTATGTTTGCCACTGTGGCGGCGAGATGAGGGGGAGGAAGGGATGGCATCGAGGTGTCGATGGAGGCCCTAGCTCGAGGCGGCGAGATGCAGAGATGCGGGGTGGTGCGGATGGAGAGGCAGCTTCAGATCCGCGCGCAGCCGCCCGCACTCTCCTTCCTCTGCCGCCTTCCCTGTGGTCAGGTCAGTGCCGCCACCGCTGCTCCATGCCTCGTGCCGATCCAATTCGCCTCATATTCTTCGTGTGCGGTGGCTGGCGCAGCTCCGTCTTCTCCCCGCCCTCCATCCTCATGTGTTCAGCAGCAACCCTAGGAGGAGCTCGAGCCACATCGGTGAATGTTCTCTGCTAGGTTTGGTGCTACTACTCCGTCTTCGATCCCAACCATCTCGCACGTTCCCGAGATCGTCGTCTTCCTGGCCGGGACGCCTGGTGAGAGCCTCTCTCCATGCCCCAACTTCCTAAGCACATACGTATCTCCTAATGGTGAATCTTTGACTGAATTTGTTACACACGACGTTTACTGAAACTGTTGTGGTCTGAAGAACAGCTTACTGAAATTGTTCTAGTCTGAAAAACAGTTATCTGAATCTGTTGAAGTCTGAAAGTGTTAGTGTGAGCTGTCTGCAACTGTTGTAATCTTGTAGACAGAGTAGGTCAGTTGATTCATCTCTTTTCAGCCTTAACAGACAAGATGGTGATGATATCCGTTTGACTTAGCCCATTTTGCTTGTGTTTGAATAATCTCTGAACAAAATTCAGGTTCCAACAGTGGTAAATTAAATCTTGTTACTGCACATGATTTGTATTCAGGTTTTCTACATGACCCGTCGTAATATTATGATACATTCTGTTAAAACCTGGCAATGGTCTGAAACTGTTGTAGTCCTATAGAAAGTAAAAGTAGTTGGATGGGAATAGTGTATTTATCAAAGCTAGTTGGACATCCCTGTTCTTGATTAAGATAATTCAGTCCGTCCATTCCATATGTTTGCCGCTAGTAGAAATTATGGAAGCTAAAAGGCCAAATCAAGCTCAGTCATCTCATTTTACCGCTAGTAGATTTCAGACTTTTATTATGTTGTGCGCACACACACATACAACACGTTCGGCACAGTCGCGGCGGCGGCACTGTCGGCTACTTATCTGTACTCCTCACCAGAGTTTGAAGTGGCAGAGTGAGCTCGTTAGCATGGCATGAGAAGTGGTATTTGATAAAATAAAGCATGTCAGATCATGTCACTCCTTAGTACTTGTATGGTTTATTCACGTGTGATGCTCCTCTTTGGCCATTTGGCTGAGTGAGTAGAACTAGACGAAGTAAGGGCCGCGTGAACTGCACGGCCATTTGTGCTGAAAATTAAGTGGGCGCTGGTTCAGCAAGCAACGACCCAATGTGTCAGTCTATTTCAGAAAGAAGAGGTCCTGTTGGTTCAGTAAGCAAAACACTCGAGAGGTCCCTGTCTATTTGAGAAAAAGGAAAGTGCAACAAAAATGTCAAACATCGCGTGCATGGACTGGATTAATCTTCTGGCCTGCATTCCAGCATTTACCTCAAATTTTGACCAGGATGTATGACTTTGTTAAACAGCAATGTCCAGATTGTGCAGCTTAGGTGTGCATCAGTTTTGTTTTCATCAGGCTTTACTTCAATTTAGTTTCATTTTCGCATTACTTCTTTTCGACATGGGTTGGAGTGGGAGCTATGATATTCTCTTTTGACGATATACGACTATTTGAAAGAGTATAAGCAAATAATTATATTTAGTACAAATGCGATAGGGGACATGTGTTTGAACTTCCTCTGGTTTTGAGAGAGTTTAGCCACTCCATATATTTCCTCTCTGGCAAGTCATTTTGCCTATGATATATTGTATCCCTTTCTTTCTAACCTGAAAGTTAGCATGTCAATTTTAAATTAATTAGAGCTCATTTCTTCGCATGGTTCACTGATCCATACTTAAAAAATGAACTTCCATTTAGTTCATAATGTGTTCTTGGCTTCTTGATAACTGGAAATAAGTGTCCTATGTTTCTGCGTTTAATGCAGTTTCCCAATCGTAGATTTTACTGATGAAATAAATACGTCGAAAGGGGATTGGACATGTTACTGACTAAGGAGATAGCGCCAAACTTTTGTATTGATTATGTTGCTATTTTCATACTTCAGTCAAGTTCTTGCCTTATGTGATGGGCAGGTTAGTTTACACTTCCTGAATGCCTCCGTATTCTGTTATGGCACTATTAAAACTTCTATCCCATAGGGCACACAACATTCAGAGGGAAATTTGTCTGTTCTTAATACCTTGCTTGTCCATACGACTATTGGCTTTTGTTGCCTGTGTAGTATTTTTTTAAGTGTTTGTAAATCATATATATTCTGTAAATTGTATATTTTTTAATATTAAGGAACCCAATTTTTGCGTCTCCAATTGTAAAACTGACTCTCTCTCTGGAATTAGGAGATTAACTCATTATATGCACAATTTAACTTCTAAATTAATCTCCTTTTACATGTGGTTTAATTTCAAAATACACGCAGTGTAGATACGACTAAATATGTATTGCACACAATGGAAAATATTTGATATCATCGATTTCTTTGGATGGGGTTGACATTTGGGAGATGCTACACCATTGGTAGTGACGCTTCAACAACTTACTTAGATTATTGTAATTTCCAAGCATTCAGTTATCCTTCCGTATATCATTCTGTACGTTTTGTGCCCGTTGACCAATTATTTGGCCTACAGGCCTACCGTGAGTGTCCCACACCTATTTAGTAGTGTCCCTTCTGCTTACATATTGCAAGCATAGTTCTTAACAGTCCACTTATTCTTGCTGAATGACAGGTTTGTAATTCATGGCATTTGGCGCATCTGCGCTTAAATTCTTGCTGGAATGGTAAACAACGATTCCATTTGGTACATAACTGAACTTGAACACCCATTATGCATCTGATTTCTCTACACTTCAATCATTCATGATTGCTGGGAAGATGAGTTTCATAATCTGCACAAGAAATATGAAAGAAAAGAAAGTCGGACTAGATGTCTCCA